CTCCTGTGTAGTGTGTGAGTAGAGTTGTTTGTTGGTTCTCTCCTGTGTAGTGTGTGAGTAGAGTTGTTTGTTGGTTCTCTCCTGTGTAGTATGTGAGTAGAGTTGTTTGTTGGTTTCCTCCTGTGTAGTGTGTGAGTAGAGTTGTTTGTTGGTTCTCTCCTGTGTAGTGTGTGAAAAGAGTTGTTTGTTGGTTCCCTCCTGTGCTTTGAGGGTTTTGTCCAGTTTTAGCCTCCCATCTCCACAAAAATCAACTCAAAATAAACCAAATGCAAATCAACAAGAGCCACAGGATTATTTAGCCACAAGCGCTATTATACCCTAGTAAAACAAGGACGTTGTATTTACTTTATTTTAAGTGAAGAAATCAGTGAAGACTCACCCGGGTGGAGGAAGAAGGTCTCGTTCACGAACGTTCATCCTGAAAGCCTCTCTGGTTAGAAAGTCTGTTGGAACCTCAATCAAATTTCGGCAAAGAATACTTTCACCCATTTTGGGTATTAGATCTTCTTTCCAGTTTCGACTCAACCCATCGTCACTGCAGTAAACTAAGAATGGAATTCCGAACACAGATCAGACTCGCGCGCTCTAAATTAGCGACACATAAATGACGTCATGAGAAGCGTGACGTCATAATTTATGATAATCTACTTTAACCATACAAATTGATTGATATATTTCTTATCTCAGTGACTTTTAAGTTCCAACATTTGCCATACAACGTTGGCTCTTACAAAAACGATTGAGAAAGGAGGTTGGGTACGAATTTGTCGAGTGGGGACTGGGTAAAGCACTTGGGCGTTCCGTCTGGGTTGACTGTATTAATTAAAAACTATAAACAGGCCCCCTAGGACATATAGGTTTCCAATTCCCAGGAGCTTGAAATTCTTTTTTTTTTTTTTTTGCCCTCCAAACTGAGCTGCTTTGAAATCACATGCATGGGGCGTCAAAATTTTGAGAATATTTTGAGGAACCAAAAGAATAAAGAATTTTTTTCCGTTTTTTTTTTTTTCCCCCCCAAACTTGATAGTTGAAAATAGCAAAACTATATGCCATGAAGAATGAAGAAGTTCAGGCGTCGTATGGAGTTTGTATCGTGACAGGAATGAAAGGCCAATCAATCGTCCCTTAATTCATGCACTACTTAGGATAATGTCCTATAGCCATAAATGTAATAACCAAGTACTTACGGAGAGTCAAACAAAGTGTTCAATCAACAACCAATTCTAAGCAGCATTTGTTTGAGTGTTTTGGTTTACGCAGGCTTATTATGCTGCTCAGAGTTGTTTGTTGATTGAACACTTTGTTTGACTCTCCGAAATACTTAGTTATTACATTTATGGTTGGAGGGTTATTACATTTATGGTGGGTTTTGATTATTACATTCATGGCCAAATTTTATTACATTTATGGTTGTTATTACATTTATGGTTGTTATTACATTTATGGTTGTTATTACATTTATGGTGGGTATTACATTTATGGGTATTATTACATTTAAGGGTAATACAAACCAGACCAGCACTGCAACCCATGTTTATATAGTGTAGTTTTCGTATGACTGTGAAAAAGATGTTACACGACAAGAGATACGCCAGACCAATCACACTGCTCGAAAATTTACTCTCCATCCAATCAAATACCTGGAACGCAGCATAAAACCGTCGCAGACACGGTCACGCCAAGGTCACGGCACTGTCAGACCAATCAAATTGCGCGAGAAAAAAATCAGCCAATCAAAATTTTAGAAACCATCACGGTCACGGCAAGGCACGCATACGGTTTTGAAGTTTTCACAGTCATGCAAAAACTGCTCTAAGACTACACGCACGCACGACGAAGTCTCACATCGATAATTATATGAATATACCTCTTAAGCTTAGGCGTAAGGTTGTTTTTCCATTTCAGACCATATGTCATTCTCTAGAGTATTATTTCTTTGTTTAACGGTTGCGCATGAGAAGACAATATGAATATTATTCTTATTCTCAAGAGGATGACACGTGGTCTGAAATGGGAAAACGTTACGCCCAAGGCAAAGAGTGTTTTCGTGTCATATTCGAGGGTCTGAACAAACTTTTTATTGATATCAGCAGTATATAACATATTGACAACTATTACATGATATTATGACGTTATTAAATTACGTGTAAGCTATACATTTTCAATTTTGTACAGGAGCGAGTGATTCGATGGTACAAGACCACGTAAAGAACGTCAAGAGATATCCAAGACCTCATCTCTTTTCAGCTCATAACTATTATTCTATAATATATATTTATAATTTTCTGTTGTACATGTGTATATGTTAGATATTTATATTCGTATTAACTGGGGGTTAACCAAAAAGATATATAGTTAACTTAGCCAGACTCAAACGCAAATAATAGCCTCTATTTTTTTTCGTTTTTGTGTCAAAAAAAAAAAAAAAAAAAAACTACTTGGATTGGGTCATAGGATGAATAGATTTAAGTGGCATTCTCAATTCCCGAAAAACCTTTTTTCGAAATCTGCTGCAGCGAAAAAAGTAGATTAATGGATTAATACAGCAGTTAGAAAAAGCTAATAAAGCCGCAAAATACCGAATACTGAAATCCGCCTCAATAGATATTTTTGGCTTGAAGATGGAAACGATTCCATAGAGAAGGATGAGCGAATAAGGCATCGTGAAACCCAAAATTATATTCGTGAAAATACGAGCTTTTTTGAAATTATGTTTTTGGAGAACTGTTAGTTTTGATGTGTTTTTTCTTTTATTTGAATAAAGAATGGAAAAAGCTGAATAAAACATAAATGACAGGGGAATTAAGTAAACTAAGATAAAATAGATAAGATAAGCCAAACGAGGGAGTGAATGCTCCAAATCAAACTTACAAACAATGGTGTACTGGTGCGAGCTAAAATCTATTGCCTGGGAATCAATAGCCAAGAAAAACGTTGAAGACACTATCCAAGCCTCAATCCAAACTAGAACAATTGATAGTCTTATAAATGAAGGTGAAGGGAGGTTTTGCCAATGATAAATACAAAAATACTGTTCAATTGATACGAGAAACAAGTTGTGTACAGTAATGGCCAAAGACCAGCCCAGAAAAAAGCGACTAATCTTACAAGGCCATCCTCTTTGCAGACCTTCGACAAAAGTTTCCAAGATTGCTATAGTTGGATTGGTGATTGAGGTCAATATGTCCGAGATAGAAAGACTGACCATGAGGTATGAGGTCACTGACCGTCTAAAAGCTACTTGAATATGAGTCATTTTGTTACGTAGCAGTTGCTGAATTTTGAATATCAAGGCGAAGGTGTTAGCCGTGATTCCAAAGATCATCATGCATATGGATAAGATGAGCAACATTTCGTTGATTCCTGGATAAGTTGGTTTAAAAACGAATTGTTTTTTAATGGTTCTGTTGCTACTATCGTCTGTGAAGTTCGATAGTATCATCATCTCCATCTTGCTTGCTGGCGGTAGGCCAAGGAATACCTTATGTAACCAGAAAAGATTAATCAGTTCATTTCATGGTCATAAATAATTATCGAGTAGATCGAGAAAAGACCGCTATAGATAGGGCGGAACTCGCACGATTTTTCAAGCCCTTGCATAAAAATTAAAATGGATCATTGCAGGAAGCGGTGAGCGAGAAATGCAGGAGTTTGGGATAGGTGTGGCGAGTTGGACCAAACAGTACCGGCTTATGGACCAGAGAATGAAATATGAGCATTCAAAGCTGAAGCTACACGGATTAGAGAGACGTCTGCGATCCTGCAAAGCATGAACTCAACGTCATTTTGAGCTAGGAACGGAACGGCAAGAAAGGTGGACAACAGTAGAAAAGTGTGTGAAAAAGAACTTACCGACTTTTTAAAATAATATCGAACGTCAACAGCGGTTTCGAGATTTAACTTCAGTTCTTGATCGCCTTCTGTCTTCGCGGATTTTTGTAGCTCTTGTTTCAAGTACGTACGCGCGACTGTGAAAATATCCTCAGGCGGACTGATTTGTTGATGTATATGGACACTAGCTATACACGGCTTGAAGGGTCGCGGGAACTGAACTCTGCCAAGGTTTTCGATTCTGTGTCAAATAAGTTCAATAGCGGCGGTCTGCTCTAAGAATACTTATGTAATGGGGGGAAAATAAATCTAAAGCGCTCTAAGCTATGGACATGATTTGCCGTTAGGAAATAATCGCGATCGGAAATGATTAAATCAAAGTGAATTCAGCAAAGGTCTGCGGAAATTGCAAATGAAAATTCTCAAGCGCCTTTTTACCCCGGGCAGGATTTGTGTAGCTTGGAAGTTGCAATAATTGTATTTTTGTTTTCGCTTTAAGTAATTAACGCTACTTAAGGGATCTCTATTACGTACGAAAATAGCTCCAAATTTCCTTTCGTTTGGAAAAAAACACAATGGAAAGATGGATGGATAAATGAATGGGAATGGAATAGGATGGGATGCGTATTGGAGATTATAGGAAGGAAGCAAGAGAATAAGAACTAAGAGAAGGAATCCCCGTGCCCCATCATGTGTACACTTTGATGTTATTTCTAGTCTATTCTAAAAATATCATCCAATGATATCATTTATTTGACCCGTTTGATTTTCTGCATGCGCATAGTACGCGCACGCTCTACGCTGTTTGCTAACGTTTTCTTTTGCTTTTCTTATGTTCAAATGTTCAAATCTGCCCTCAAGATGACGATGTAGGTCAAAAGCTTTGGAAAATAAATGTAAAAATACTCCAGAAATTTGAACAAATTACTACTTCAATTTCCTGTCGTATTTGCCAAGCTTTCGACGTGCACATTCATATCCAGGGCAGAGTCGGAAATAACGGAAAACCCCCAAAACGTAAGCGAACAGCGTAGAGTGTGCGCAGTAAATGCGCGTGCAGAAAAACAAATGGTTTAAAAATAGTATCAAACTGCGCACATGATGGTTACAAGGCTATATAGGGGGTATTCCTTCTCTTAGTTCATTTTCTCTTGAAGGAAGGATGTCCCCACTTATGTCCCATGATGCAATTAGGAGTATGGAGCCCACTGTAGTGGTTAGTCAGCGGTCACCCATCATGGTGGACATCAAAGGATGAGAGTTTCAAGGTATCGTCCTGTGGTTTACGTACAATTACTCTTCTTATTCATCGATATTTTTATCAATTCCTTTGGAGAGCTCTTCAGAACAGCAGATGTGGTTCTCCTGGTCTTATATATGTAAGTACAATCCGCTTTTTGTGTCCAGTTAGAAGCGTTTTTTAGTCAATAATACTGACATTGTTTTCGTGTTTTGACATCAGCGCGTCGTTATCTTCTCCTAAAATACTCTTCAAATTTTTACTCCTTGCCATGAAGATTATCTTAGAATCTTTAAAATCTTTTTATTTTATAGAATATTCATTAGATTCGTAAGATATTTTGAGCGATCGATCGAGCGAAGTGCGTTTTTTGACAGCATTGATCTTCGTTTGCGCATTTTAGGCGCCTTTCAAATGCTCTTTGTTGAATAGAATCATGACTCATGGTTAAGATTTCACCGGACTTTCCATTGTTGTGGGCGGAAAAGACTTCCCAAGACTTGATAAAACTCTGATTCTTGATTTATTTGTTCTTTCTGCAAGATCCTGGTTAAGATCAAAGAGCAGTTTAGTAAAACAAAAAGGTTAATATTTCTGTGTTTTTATAGCGGTTTGGCAGTTGGATTATAATGTATACTAATTAGATGATTCACAACGTAATTACATTCCTATCTAGCTTTTTATTTACATTCAACATAATGTATTTTCACCGATAGTTATTAAAAATTCCGATATCTTAAATCATAATTTCGATAAACCTTACCAGCAAAGGTTTTCAGAGGTCTGACCAGGTTTGAAAAGCTTCATTTTCAGCCATTACGTGACCAAAGCCAAACATGTCTGGGTTAATTCTTAGCTTTCCTCAATTAAAATAATTACAAACCAGACTGTTGGATGCTTAATTGACAGAAGCAAAAAACCAAAGCCAAATCTAAAATTACTAATATGAATTATATGAAAATAGGTGCATAATAGTGTATATCAAATGAACAAGGTTTTGTCATAGATTCTATTGTTGTCATGGAAACACCAGAATTATACACATTGATATAAGGTTTAAATTTTCAACAAAAAATGGCCTAAATTAGTACACTTTAGAAAATGCCTCCCACACACACACACACAAGCACCACCACCTGCTAAAGGATGTTGGGCTTAAGACTAATGATAAATTTTCTACCCATTATATTTTTCTCCCTCTAGCATCCAAGATGTCTGTATCATCCTCGCCATTATTGTAGTCTTCCTACTCTTCTTTAATACCTATATATTTCAAGCTGGATTGGTGTCGTTACTGATTAGAAAGTTTAAAACTACCATAATTATAGCTGTTGTTTACTTGGCCCTATCTGTTGGTCTGCACGTATGGACAATGGTAAGCACATGTATGGTAGTGTTGTTCAGAGTAGATTTCACATGACTTAGAAATGGTATAGCTCTAGCTCCACCACATAGACTTTTTTTTTTTTTTTTTGGTAAGATAAATGGATTTATTTCTGAAATTTATCCAAAGAATGAAGGCCAAGTAAAAGTAGTTTCAAAAAGTTTGCAATTTCTTGAAACTAAAAAAGACAAAGAAACTCTAAATTCTAATATTAAATGACATTTCTAAATTTTCTTATCCGTTTGTGTCATCATATCATTGAACATGTTTCTTCAACCATTATTGATTTTGATAATTAACCCTCTCATCCATGGCCAAGGGTAAAATATTGCCAGATACTGCCACCACATAGACTTAATGACATACTTTAAGACCAGGAGGCAATGTGTGACATATACAACTGCTACTTCATATTTACAAAATAAATGTCTTGTGAGTATATACGCCTATTTCCAAAAATGAAAACTTTGTCGGTTGGAGATCTGAAATCTGAGACCGAAAGGAATTGTGGGTTGTAAGCTGTAAATTATTTTTTGGTTTTAATCATTATTTCGCAAAAGGTTAATATCTTGATATACTAACTTTGAACAATGACCTGCGCTGGCAAACTTTCTGGGTAAGTGTATATTGAATTTTTGACGAGAAAACACTCAGTCCCCCACAATTCTAATTGGTCTCAGATTTCTGAATTCAGATATCCAACCGATGACGTTTTTTGAAATAGGTTTCTATAATAATGTTAAGTCATTTTGGCTTGTGCTCCTCAAAGATCAAATTAATAGAGTACTAAAGTGTGAGGTCACAAAAAAAAAATTTTGACTTTAATTATTTTCGATCTCTAATTTTTATAGACAATCAAAAAATATGTCTACACACCAAATTTGACGAGAATCGGACAAATATCAGCTGAGATATGACCATTTGAATATATAATTACTCTATACAAATGCTGAAAATACAGTGATTTGTATAGAGTAATTATATATTCAAATGTTCATATCTCAGCTGATATTTGTTAGATTCTCTTCAAATTTGGCTTGTAAACATCTTTTCTGATTGTCTATTGAATTTGTTAACCAAAAATATGATCAAGCAAAAATTAATTTTCACTTGAGTACTCTATAGCCTCTTTCTAGCCTATACAGCCTCTTTCTAGCCTATACAGCCTCTTTCTAGCCTAGTGGTCTCAGACTTACCAAAGTATTTTCTATTTTTATGAACAACAGTCTAAGAAATGGGGTGATCCACAGAAATTCATCTGGAATGAAGCCCTTCAAGCTTTGTTTGTCTTTCAGAGAGTTAGTAAGTATAAATGTCAATCCAAAACATTGTTGTTAAATAATTCTAGGAGTTCTACTAAAATTTATGGTAGCTGAGTGCTATGCAGTTAATTAAAGCATGTGCAGATTTGCAAAACATTAGAGAAGCACAACACACCAGGGAACACCCTCACCTTTGAATTGTGAAACGTTTGTTGTTAGAAAGTTTCACAAAGCTGGGGGTGTTGTGAGAAAGTCCCCCCAAAAGTAGAACTGCTTTTTACTTGTGCAACTGAAACTTGTGTGGTGAAAAAGTTTCAGGGCAAAATTGTGCTGTGTAACACTTCAAACTCTCTCTTCAAACTTTTTTCAACATGCCCCATGGCCAGTGAACAATCCAATCAAAGCTGAGCATTCACAGTGAGCAGGCAAATAATTTACATGGTGGATGATAGGAAAAAATAATGCACTGTGTAACACCACGTGAAACATTTCTCTCAATGCTGCTGCACATAAGTTTTAACTAAAAGTTTCAACGTCTAATGGGGTCCGTATTTACCTATTTCAGGTGCTGTACTCTACTACTACTTTTACAAAAGAACATCATTAAGACTTGGTGATCCAAGATTTTACAAGGACACTGATTGGTTGCGGCAAGAGTTTGCTAGGACACACTGAACTCTAGATGACAGTTTTAAATATTGTTGTCCAGAAAATGCTGTTGTCCAGGACAATCTTGCCAGGTACTAGAAAAGTTACCAGACTCTACAAACGAAGAAGAAGCTGGCTGGTAAAAAAATACCATCAACATCTTACTGTAGGGAATCACTTTTCTCAGTGTATTCCAGTTTAACAGGTTCTCCAAGCTGGTAGTATGTTAGACGTCTGTTTTACAAGATTCGGTTGTAAAGAGCAACTGCTTTGTCCTTATGGGGGTTGGAGCCAGGGGACTTGAAACTGAAACCATAAGAGGATTTGTAGCTGATCACTACAGCATCTTTGGCCACCATTTCTTCAAGATATTTTTAAAGATTGCCACTGAAATTAAAAAAACTGTTCCAGCTAGTTTTTATGATTTGTAAAGATAAGCTAAGTTCTTATAATGGCATACAGCTATTTCAATAAACAAATGCTTTTTAAAGGTTTGGTCTCATGTTTCATGTTGCATACTAAGCTTGAAATGTATTAGAAAAAAAAGTTTGAACCCAAGTGTTGAAGTTTGTTGTGAAATGTGATCGTCCGGGTGAGTGTAGTCTTGAGAAAGAATATTGTTGGTGGTGACTTGTGTTTCGACAACCTGAGCGGAAGTCAACTTCAGAGTCCAGTGAGAAAACGAGAGAGAATGAAATGTATTGTATTCATATATAAATAATGTCAACACAGAATTATGAAAAATGCTCATAAAATTTAGGAAAAGTTCATTCGTAATGCGCGGACCTTTCGCTGATCGCATTCACATCACCCATAATGCAGTTCTGGCTTGGTATGCAACAAGGAACAAAACCTTGATCAACCTTTCTTGAAATAGCTGTATATGTATATTTTATAATGATTTAACAAAATATAGTTCTAACTTTTTATAGCTATCCAGTCCATTTATCATCCATGTATACTTCAACCATTCTTTACAGTTCAGTGACAATTTTAGTTCCACCCCACCCCCACTAAAATAGTTGTGGTTCTATGTTCATTGTCTTCAACAATGGATGATATGATACTAGTTCTAATTTATTGAGTAAGTATGTACAGAACTGTGAAGTAAACGAGAGCATAAACAGCCTGGTTATATGTCACAACAAATGCATTAAAATGTTGCCAATAATAATATTTAGGGTCAAAATGAAAAGCAGTTCTATTGTATAACGTTTTTTCTAAATACTCCTTCTTACAGTTCCATCCAGTGACCGTGAATAATAGTTTCAAAACTATAGTTAATCATGAGCAGAAACTCCAACCTCGACTTGGAATTCTTATTATTCATGGTTGCTGAACGCAACTGTAAAAAGGAGTATGTTTCTTTATATGACAGGATTCGTTGTCCACAGGTCAAATTGTTTCAGTGGGGGAAAAATTCACTCTATTTTAGCCATTTTTGTGAGCCGTTGGACCTAGAAATATCAAAAAGTAAGGGCTATCAAATATTAATACTATCCTCTGAGAAAAGTGAACCTTTTTCTCTTCACCTCATCATTAGAGTGAGTACAGTGATTTAATTGGCTTATAAAAAATCGTTTAAGCAAAATAATTAGTAGTAGACAATTCCATTGTTTCCTATTGTTTTGCTTTAACAATTATACAACTTTGTTTCATGTTGCCGAGATACCAGTATACCTACTTTTTCACTTGGAAAATTCCAAACCCTTATCAAATTGCGTAACTGTTTTTTTTGTGTGGCATATCTTCTTATTTACCATGACACGACATCAACAGTTGGTCGAAATGTTATCTACTCATGATGCCTAGTGTTGACATAATTTGTTGGCATTTCCTCTTATTATTTTATCATGATTCTGTACCAATCAGAAAGGGAGAAAATTTACGTTTGGGTTAAGATTACATTTGGGTTAAAAAAGATATGTTATACCCATAAATCAGATCAAATGTTGTTGGATTTAAAAATAAAGTCTAATTTTTTGTCATGACGAAAAATTGTACAATTTCACGAGCATGATCAGGAAGGGTTGTAAACAAGTGCTCAGAACTTTATCAACACTGTTTAATTTTTTTAAGAATTATTGTTTTAAATTAGCTTTTTTTACAAACATAACTGTTGCTAGATTTAAATTTAAAACTAAGGGTTGCCATGATATCAGATGGCTGAAAAAAACCACCATATTCACTTTACCCTAAGGGAGTTTTATCCTTGCTCATAAAAAATGATCTTGAATATAGAGCTTTTAAGTGTGACGTCAAAATGACTTCCAGGTCCAAAACCAAAAAAACAGTTTTGTTCACAATAAATTCTAATCGCTTTAGGTGAAGGTTAAAACGTTCCCCGCTAGCAGAGCCTATTTTTCCTTTGTTGTTTTGGTTAAAAGAAGGGAGAGAAAGAGAAGAGAGACTCTGCTAGCAGGGAAGTTAAAACGTTGAAGATAGGAAAGGAATTTTAGGAAGAGAAGAGAAAAGACAAAGTAAAAGGACATTTTTGCTTTGTTTTGGAAGTTTTTTTTGAGTGGTTGGACCTGGAAAAATGTTACAACATAAAAGCTCTAATGTCCATCAGGGTCTGGAAGGGGGGATCCGTGTCCATTTTCCCCTACAACCAAAAAGCAAAATCCTGCATCCCAGACATTGAATTCGGCAATCCCTGAGTCAAGGCCAATACCAATATCCTGAATCATGTAAGATTTTTTTCTAGTTTCCCGGATCCTGCTCTATATTTTATCCGTTTCCTGGATCCCATAAATACTCTTCCACACCCTGATCCACGGTACCTGAAATGGCTGCATTTTACTCCCTCAAGATTGTGCAAAACCTTTTTTAGAATGCATAAGAAACTTAATATGCTTTTGTTGTTATGTTTAGTTAATTACAGAACTATGTTTTATTATCTTAAATCTGTTACCTACTCAAGTACTAGTCACTTTCATTGACTGTAGACTAGTACGATTATTAAACACACCTAAAAATGACTGAATGTGATTGGCTTGAAGCTAGCTTTAGTTGTTTTCAGATAATATGGACATCAATACAGTCAATGTTCATCACAAAGCAGTGGGAATCTGTCAGTACTCAAACAAGGATCTACACTGTACAGTATCAGCAAGAGAAAATGAACTAAGAGAAGGAATCCCCGTGTCCCATCATACATGTGCACACTTTGATGCTATTTTTAGAATCATCGATGCTATTTTTAACTTGTTACCATGCCTGCGCAATAATCATGCTTCCCTTTAATGCCTTGTATTAGGACACGAAAAGCGTCATATTTCACTACGTCCATGACAAAAACACAGGCTTTGTTTACTGCAAGACTGGAAGCCGCCTACCTTCAAGAAATCAACAAATCAGGCTGTTCACTCAAAATATCTCCAAGCTAAAAATAGCATCAAACTGTGCACATGATGGTCACAAGGCTATATAGGTAGGATTCCTTCTCTTAGTTCATTTTCTCTTGGTATCAGCTATTACTTTTCACGTTGGTGTCTTCTATTGTAAAGATACAATAGTTTCTATGCAAAATAAAATAAATTAGCTGGGAAATTTCTACTGAGGGCAAAAATGGTATGAGCAGTTACTTTCCTGTCATGCTTTGTGCTAGAAAAACTAGCTCATGGGCATTGTCTATTTGGGCCACATTTTGAAAATGCTTGGAAGGGCCAACAAAAGGCTTTTTTTAAACCAAAAATCTTAACTGTATTTTGTACTATCATTATGGATTTGCAAAGACAAACTGGTAAATTAGAAGTCTGGATGCAAAAGTGTTGAAAGAGATCATTAAAAAATGATATATGGTACAGTTATCAAACAGTATACGTATGAAATAATTTACACAATCCTTCAGAAAACAGATCCACAACGGATTCTATGGGAAGTTCCGGGAGAGATGCTCAAAGCTCACTGTCAAAATCATGTCAGACTCCGAAGTCCTACTAGTTTTTCTAAATATATAACTTGGTTTTTCTAAATATATAACTTGGTGGCATTCATTAATGTATGTATAACTTACATTTTTAGAGTAGAAAAACTACAAGGTCATAATTGATCTTAAAATTTTTCTGTTAACGACAGTAACTTCAAAACCACCTGTTACTTTATCTCTATCTAAGGGATCCTAGCTAAGGGAGGCAGCATAACAAATCCCTCCCGTTCAATATTCATCCAGGCAGAACAATGGGGAGTAGTGAGGAGAGGCTGTTGATTACTGTATGTTCAAAGTCATGTTCCTATAACTAGAGGCAGACCTAATACAAAGATTATTACAAAATATTCTTCTTTAGATACAATAAATAACACTATACCAACAAAGTGAAAGTATATAGAAAAGTACTGTTAGTACTTATACTTACTCTAGCACTTAATGTAAAAAACATTCAGATTAATCTAACTTACAGTAGATACCACTTAGTTTATAGTGTGACATGAAGAATCGTGCCCTGGAAATATTTGTAGAATGTCAATGGTTAAGTAGCAAATAAACCATTTGCAATTTTTCATGTGAAGACATTACATGAAGGACAAAAAAAAAAAAAGCTAAAAGGCTAAAGATAACAGCTGGTCAGTTACTATAGTCATAACGATCAGCTAAGTTAGCTTTAGCTTTGCAATACTGTATATACATCATTTCTGGCTTAATGTTACTGGTCAAAATTACCAGCAAGGCAAAGATTTGACTGTATAAGTTTCAATTCTGTCAGTAAAAATTAATTATAGTATGATGGTTTTTAGCAGTTGACTTCTTTTTCAAGTTAGAAACATTAATATAATTAGTTAGAAATGGGTAAAGGATTTAGCAAGACTTTCAAGAATGCTGTTTAAAGTTAGTTATTGAAGCATTCCAAGAACCCACCAAATACTTCCAGGTACCCTGGGTTTTTCAAGTCACACTGCTGACTACTGAATATAATCGCTTGTCAGAGGTGTACGGTCAGGTCTGTACTTGTACATAGGTGGCTTACTGCACTCGGCAATTTGTTCTTTGATTTGTCCAACAAATATGTGCGTCAAAATGATGCCGAGGAACTGAAGAAAGAAAGAAAGACATCAAAGCAAGTCTCAAATAAATGCTACAGGGAATATAGAAATCTGTATGAAGACAGAAACCAAATCCTTTCCTCTTCTCAAAAAGAAATATAAGGCAGATATTTGAAATGTTTGATCTGAAAAAAGCGGCCATCTTGAAACCAAACTTCTGATCCTAAATGTTGTATCAAAACTCCTAATTTGCATATCAGGGACCGGTTGTACGAAGGGTGGATAGCACTATCCGACGGATAAATCCTTATCCAGTGGATAAGTCGATGCTGTTTTCCAATAAATTTATCCACTGGATAAGATTTATCTCTGGGATAGCGCTATCCAGGCTTCGTTTAACCGGGTCCAAAATATTACTGAGGAACCGTCCACACTATGCCAGATAAATTTGAATCTGCAACTTTCACACTGAAACCGAAAAAAAGTTTTCAGCCCACACATAAAAATGGATAAAATGCTTGGTTTGCACACTAGTTCGATCAGAGGCAGCAAAAAACGCTTCATTGCACATCTGAGCATGTGCATCGAAGCTGAAATTGAGCCCACGGTGAATTTTTAGCCTTCCTGCCATGTTCCTATGACATTCATGACGTCATCGTATTCAAAAATTTCGGATACGAAATGTTCTCTGTCCACACTAATATGGCTAGCCGGCGTTTTCAAATTGTTCCACTCTACTGGAGACCGTATTTGAAAAAAAATTGTTTTCGGTGAAGAATTGTTCTGGATTCGTCCGGACTGGTGTGGATGGTAGGCCTAACCAAATAAATAAAAATTTGGATTCAAATTTTTCCGGCATAGTGTGGATGGGGCCTGAGCATGGTCATAGGGGTTACCATTTCAACTCCCTAACAAGCTTATTGCATAAAACTCACCTGAGGGAAAGCAAACGCAATAGCTAAAGCACCAACAACATACAAGTGATCCCTGAACCATATAATGACTGCATCTAAACATCCAACGATATAGATTTTCTTTTCCTTGGCAAGGATGAGACGCTGAAGGAAAAATATTTAGTCATCAACTGTCAGCTTCTAGTATTCAATTGCTTGTTTTTACCTGTTATAATTTCTGATTTCTTGTATAAAATAATTATTTTCTGAATTGCAAGTTTTCAGTAAAATTCTGTCTTGTTGAGAGAGACCATTGAGAGCAGTTAGTGCTCAGTGTTTGATCACCATTTGGTGCAGATAATAGAGAGTTTTAGCTTGACTTTTATTTTCTTTTATTTGACCACATATTTTACTTTACTTTACTACCTTTTGCAAACTTTCTCACTACCAAAAATATTATTTTCTTTTTTTACTACTTGGATTTTTCTGCAATTCCTTTCCAGTAATTTAAAATAAGAATTTTTCACTGGTCGACTGACATTTGCCGTGAATAAAAATTTTTTATCTAACTCTGTAACGAGATTTACAGACTCTTATTCAGAAAGGTATGTTTTATTGGGTGGAGAGCTGGGGCTTCAGAGGAGAGGGTCATCAGTAACAACCCTTATGAAAAAAGAATATGTTTAAAATATGTTTTCTAAAATGTATTTAAAGCAAATTTTAAACATGTTAAAAACACGCTTAAAGTGCTACTACGACGAAAATCGCTCAAACTTGGATTCAGTTGAAACTTCCTAAGAATACTCTTTAAAGGTCCAATAATCACTGTATGAAGTGTTTTCTCGATATTCAGGACGAAAGCATGATATTTTTACGATTATTTTTTGGAGTCTGTGACGTCATACACTCAACATCGAACATCGCTCCATACATTTCTTTGTAGTTTATGATCAAAATATCAGTAGTAAAGGGAGAAAGAAATACCCAAACACCCCAAAATATAAATTATAGTCCCAAGTAATGTGAAATAAGCACATTAGCCACCCTTTGGGCTTCATAGGAATAAAATAAATTAAGGATTTATATACAAAGAAATATATGTAGCAATGTTTGATGTTGAGTGTATGACGTCACAGACTCCAAAAAATAATCGTAAAAATATCATACTTTCGTACTGAATATCGAGAAAACACTTCATACAGTGATTATTGGACCTTTAAAGAGTATTTTTAGGAAGTTTCAGCTGAATCCAAGTTTGAGCGATTTTCGTCGTAGCACTTTAAATATACATTAAACATGTTGATTTTTGGTAAGGGAAACGTAACTTTTGTTTAGGGTCAGTCCTTTTTTATTTTGATTTGTCAAAGCTTTCATTTGTTGACTTAATATAAGGGCTATAAATTTCTTACTGAGTAAAGTAGGGGGAAAAACTCTGCTGTGAATCCCACAGCCCTCTTGTACCTTTCGTTAGCTGATCAAAACCCAGCAACTGTAATTCACAAAATGATGTAAAGTAAAAAAAAAGATATTTACATGTTTATGCCTGACATTCCATCCACACTGTACATTTATGCTCTATAAGAGAAAGTAACAAACTGGATATTAAGTATTATTCAAGTAATACCATGATCACCTTGGAGTCTCTTGTCTTCTGAGGGCTTTACAAGTCCGAATTTCCCGCATGCATAGAACATGAAGGAAATTTAGAAGACAAAGAAATCCTTTGTCTTCTACTAAATTTCCCTGTCACATATAGTAAATGTAGGGAAATTTACTAAAAAACAAAGGATTTCATTGTCTTCTAAATTTCCCTCATGTTCTATGCATGAGGGAAATTTAGAAGACAATGCCTCGTCACCCTCAGGGACAACTCAATTCCCCTGCAACTGAATCGCTTACAACGTATGCTACTTATGATATTACTGCACGGTTTCCATGTGGGACGTGTTCTCAAATCTGCGCATGCTCAGTCATAAGATAAATTAAAAATGACAACTTGTTTTTAAATTCTATTTTTTGTTTTATTCCACAAATTTTCTCTCGTTATTCAGCGAAATTTAATCACTAATTTCCCTCATGCCATGGTTTTACTTATAAAAATATATATTATTTATCAGCCATTGATTTGCTTCATTGTTTAACAATCCGTTTTCCCATGCGCGTGCTTGGATTACGTAAGGTTTATGTCAGGACCTCTGAACTGGGCAGAGACAGGAATATGGCCCGCTCGCACAAGTAACAATTTTTAGTCATGTTCTCTTACCTGGCCTTCGGTTTTGACGCAACAAGAATGAGGTACTCCACATTCCTCTGGAGATGGGCCATTACATTTGAAGTATTGGTTGATGTTCCAGTCATTGACGTTTGAGCTGCCACAGCATTTAAACTAACAAACAAGATATTTAAAAACTTATTTAGTTTATATCCTATGTGGACTGATGACAAGATATAGACCATATAAAAGAGGGCATGTCCCTTGAGATACCATAGTTCATCCGTTACAGAAGACAAATGCTTTGATTAGAAAGGGTATATAAAAATTTGTGATTTTCCAAAATTTCAGTGTAATGAGATTAAATCTGATAAAAAGCTACCAACAGCCGTTTGAAATTAGGCCCCATCCATACGTATCCGGAAATTTTTGTATCCGCAAATATTTTTTTTGCAGATACGAAAATGTTTGTGTCCACACGCAGCGTATTTGAATCGTTTTCGAATCGTTTTCACTGTCCACAAGTATCCGGAAATTTCTTGATCCGCCCTGATGCACGCTAGTGCCTAGTCCCTTTGACGGATAGTTTTTCTTATTAAGCATGCGCAAAATCGTGTTTATGTCATCGTATTCACAAATTTGCGGATACGACCGTCCACACATATCCGTATTCGGAGTGTATTCGAAAATTTCCACTCAGGAGACTGTTTTCGAAAATTTCCGGATACGGATACAAAATTTCCGGACACGTGTGTACGTAACCCGTATCTGCAAAAAAAAAAATTGCGGGTACAAAAGTTTCAGGATACGTGTGGACGGGGCCTTAGAAAGGCTTGTATGGAAACAATGACCAAGGGCCAGTCAACCTTGCTTCATGTTTTTAATTTACATAGTCTTTCTTGTGATGAAAATATATTTTTGAAATCAACCAATCTTTTCCTTGTTTTTCATATGGTCTATATCCATTATGATTAAATTTTAGACCCGAGCCTGAATGGCATACAATCCAGATACTGAGTTTATACGTCTGAATAAATTGAAAAATGAAAAAAAAAAAAAAGAAAAAAAACAAAGAAAGAAAATTGAAAACAAAAAACAAAAAACAAAAAACAAGGCTTCAACTTCTTAGCCTCAATGTTGTAAATGAATTTCAAATTAGATTTTAAAACAATTTCAAATTACTCACCTTTTCTTGGATACCATCAATAACATTTTGTAGATCAATATCATCCCTGTAGTTTACGATGCCTTTCTTTATTTGGGTTTCAATTGAATCTCTCACCTAAAAAAAAACATTGGCACTCTTAGTCCCAACGGGATTAATGAACGCTTTACTTTCAACTAACCTTTTCTTTTGTCTTTTGATTGTTTGTTTTTGTTTCCTTGCCTACCTTACTCTCATTGGTTTCTTTTGTCTTATTCTATCATATATACACTCCTTTCTACCACTTCTTTCTCTTTTACTCCGACGAAGGACTAGCGTCCGAAACGTCAGTAAGTTTTTTCATCTTTTCACGGTGTATAATTTACCTTTTCATCATTACTGTTTCATTAGAAACACAGACGCAGCTCACACTAGTTTTTAGCTAGTTATATCTTTTTTAAAAAAAAAAACATTGTGAAGTTCTAACATGAAGAGAATATCAGACTCTATCTAAGTGGGTGAGCAGACAGATGGACAGATACAGGCAGAAAGATAATGGTTGGGTGCTTGGATGACGGTTAAGGGGATGGATGGAAAGAAGGATTATAGATGGGAGATGCAAACCTGTATGGATGGATACTGTATAAAGAGAGATAATGATTGAGAGGATGGGATGACAGACTTTAAATAGGTAATGGTTGTTGGCCAAAAAGGATAGATGGATGGGAGGTCATGGGTGGGTTAGTGATCAGGTCATGGCTGGGTTATTGGATGGGAGGATAGAAAGAAAGGTGGGTGATGAATGGATGAATAGATAGATGGATGGAAGGATGACCAGGTCGTGGATGGGTAATAGTTGATGGAAGGATAGATAGCTGGATGATGATCAAATGTATGGATAGATGGATTGGGATGACAGATAACTGGGTGGTTGGATTCAATGGATTAGATTTTATAAAGTTGGCATAAGAACATGGACCTAAAGTAGGACAGATTCCAAACGTCTAATAAAGAAAATGCAATTTTAAAACAAAAACTTCAAAGCTGCATACACATTAATTTGAAGAAATATTATCATTTACCTCAGGCCAGAAAGCAAATGCAAGAAGACCTCCAAGAATTTCAAGAATGACAATGATAACCATCATCCATTTGTACTGTGAATAAAAGATAAAATTAGATTAGTAGATATTGGTTTGTTTGATGCAAAATATATATTTAATATATATGCATTGTCATATGATCGCTTGTCACCACCACAAGTACAGCAGTGGTGCAGCTCAACAGGGTCTAACTAAAAGCACGTGAAGACAACTCTGGCCGCTGTTATGATGCAATGTTTCCTTTGAATAGGGAATTAAGGGGAGTGTATCTAGTGCACTCGCATCAGGACACGTTTAGGGTTTCAGGTTCGATTCCTGCACCCAACAGGGTCTGCGTAGAGTTTGTTAGGTCTCCTTCCCTTGATTCAAAGAATTTTTTCCAATTTTTCTCTTTCCATCAAGTCTAGCACATTAAATCCAAATAGCTGTGTCTAAATTAGATCAGCCCAGAGGTTGTTTCAGGGTTCAATCTCTGAGTTAGCCATGCCCTGACTTAGATCAGCTCAGAGGCTGTTTTAATGTTTGATCCATGAGTTAGCAATGCCCTGACTTTGATCAGCCCAGAGGTTGTTTTAGGGTTCAATCTGTGAGTTAGCTTGTGCCCCGACTTAGATCAGCCAAGAGGTGATTTCAATGTTTGATCTGTGAGTTAGCCATGCCCTGACTTTGATCAGCCCAGAGGTTGTTTCAATGTTTGATCTGTGAGTTAGCCGTGCCCTGACTTTGATCAGCCCAGAGGTTGTTTCAGGGTTTTGATCTGTGAGTTAGCCGTGCCCTGACTTTGATAAGCCCAGAGGTTGTTTCAATGTTCGATCTGTGAGGTAGCCATGCCCTGACTTAGATCAGCCCAGAGGTTGTTTCAGGGTTTGATCTGTGAGTTAGCCGTGCCCTGAATTTGATCAGCCCAGAGGTTGTTTCAGGGTTTGATCTGTGAGTTAGCCGTGCCCTGACTTAGATTAGCCCAGAGGTTGTTTCAGGGTTCGATTTGTGAGTTAGACATGCCCTGACTTTGATCAGCCCAGAGGTTGTTTCAGGGTTCGAACTGAGAGTTAGCCGTGCCCTGACTTTAATCAGCCCAGAGGTTGTTTCATTGCTCGATCTGTGAATTAGCCATGCCCTGACTTAGATCAGCCCAGAGGTTGTTTCAGGGTTCAATCTGTGAGTTAGCCGTGCCCTGACTTAGATCAGCCCAGAG